CCCGGGTGCCCCCGCCCCGCCAGGAGTGCGGCCCCTCGAGGGCAGTGAGTGCCGGCAGCTCCCAGCCCCGCTGGGCGTTCTCAGGAAGAACGAGGCGCCGCAGGTGTAGACCGGGCGCAGGGTTAACGCCCCTTCCTCCTCTCGGCCCTGTGCACTCGGTGCGACCTCAGGAAGTGCCGGCGCCCTTTGCCCTCTGACCCTGCGGCCTTTCGGAGGAGCATCTCTGGTGGTGGCGCTCTGCGCCGGGGGACACCTCGGATCCTGATCCGGGAGCCTTACCTTCCACTGCCCCACGCGCGCGCCGTTGCCCGGCAACGCCGGCCGAGGAGGCCGGAGGACGCTGCTGCCGTCAAGCGGGGTGGCCGCAAAGCCAGGCTAGTGCGCAGGCGCAGAGCTCGCAGCCTGCCCGGTCTGGGCGGGGTGCGCCTGCGCGTAGCCTGCGGGCGGGTGATCTGGTCCCCTGCTCGGCCCCAGCCCCCTGGGTGTCGTCGAGGTGGTTCGTCCACACTGCCGGGTTGTAGGACAGCCTCCTGCGCCCACGCGGTTCTCATTTACCTCTCCCCGCAGACCCACCAGGCCCGTTTGATCGCTGAGATGCGCAGTTCTCCGCGCAATGGTGCATAGTCACTTGGGTAGTGACCGTGTGTCTTCACCGCTCCGGGGCATGGGGTGCTCAAAGCCACTGGACTGTAATTAAGTGGCCCGGGCATGAGGGGACTGACCCCGGCTCTCAGTGGGCATCCAGAGAGCGCATCTGTGTAAAGAGGCACCTGTCGCAGAAAGCTGCCAAAGGCCGCTGCATGTCCTGCTGGCGGGTGTGAGGAGGAGGGCAGGGGAGGAGTGCGAGGGCAGAGGCAGACCTGCCTTTGAGGCCCGCTGTCTCCTCACTCTCTGAGTGTGACCTTGAGTGATTCCTGAACCAATTTCACCTGACCTGCTTTTCTTTCCCTTAAGGATTCTTTACTTAGAGGCTAGCAAGTGGTATTGTGGTTAAGGCACTGGACCCCTACATGGGTGACTGTGGTTCAAGTCCCAGACCTGGCAGCTTGATTTCTCACTTTCCAGCCTCTCTGGTGAGTGCATGTACCCTATCGCAAATTAAAAAGATAGTCATAATAAAATTAAATAATTTTAAAATAATTATTTAATTTTATTCATCATTATTTTTTAAATTTGCTATAGGGCACGTATGCTCACCAGAGAGCCAGCGAGAGGAAAAGAGAGAGAGAGAGAGGGAAAAGTGAGAAAGCAAGCTGCCAGATCCAGGACTCAAACTACAGTGGGTCATGTGGGAGTCCACCGCCCTAACCACCATGCCACCTGCTGGCCCCATGACCCTCTTGTTCTAAAGGAGGCCCGGTGAGGGTGGGATCCAACATATTCCCTCCCAGAAGTGAAGCTGAGGGTTTCCACTGCACAGACAGGGCAGGAGGGAAAGGTGGGTGACAAGAACAGGCCAGCAGTTGACATAGTGGTTAAGGTGCTAGACTCCCACATGGCCAGCCAGGGTTTGAGTCCCAAACCATGGGGCTTGCTTTCTTTCTTTCTCTTTCTGTCTCTTTCTCTCTGATGAGCATGAATAGAATAATAATGAGTAAGACAAAATATGTCATTCAAAAAAAGGGGGACAAATAATGCCAGAGAGATTCACCAGGCTAGGTGTGATTAGAGACTGAATTCTGGATCTTTGTCACCTTTTCTGGCTTCTAGGCCTGCACACATGCTGGGGCCATTCTGTCTGCGGTGGTAATTCCTGGCCATCCGTTAGGTCCCCGCTCAGATGTCACCTCTTCCAGGAGACTTCTCACCTTCCAGACATGCATGGACGACTCCTTCTGTG